GGGTTGGGGGTGTCGGCGGGGCGGGGGTGCGTTTTTTTGGGGGGTGCTGTGCACTGAGGGTGCACCCTCAGAGCCCCCAGGTTGCCTGGGGTGGGGTGCACCGCGGGGGGACCCAGTGCCATGGGGGGTGCAGAGCGTAGGGTCCCGGGGCATTAGGGGTTGCACGTTTTGGGGTGCTGTGCGCCAGTGCCGGGGGAAGGTGGGTTGGGGCTCTTTGCAGCGGGGTGCGTGTTGGGGGGGGGGTCTTGCATGCACAAGGGGGAAATACCCCTGTTAGCCCCCGTGCCAAGGTGGCCCCCGCACCCATGGCACGTGTCCCATGCGGTGACGTGTCCTGAGCCAGGGTGAGGGTCCCCAGGGTGCCTGGGGGGTTGGGAAGGGGCCAGTGCCTTGCAGCCAGCCGTGAGCAGGACTACGGGGGGGCAAAGGGCTCACACACCCTTCAGCGGTGGGGCTGGGGGCCACGTCAGGGGCTGCCGCGTAAACGGGGTGCTAGCGGGGCTACCCCAGCTCTCCAGCTGCAACGCCAGGCTTGGCACAGGCCGGGTAGGTGGGACGTGTCCCCGAGGAGGGGGCCAGGCAGCACTGCTGGCCCTGGGGGAGATGCAGCGAGCGCCCGCTGAGCCCCCCGGGTGCAGGCAGTAGAGGCTGGCACTTCCATCCAGCAGATTTGGGGTGCTGTAGCCAGCCCAGGCATAAAACCCTTCCATGGCTTTGTATAAAAAAGGTGTTTAAGACAGTGCGGAGGCAGAGGGGAGATATTCCCATTGTGAATATCTTTTAATATTACTGTGGGCTGGCACAAAGTGATACGGTTGCTTAGCAAATGAATCCATCCAGCACCGATCCCAGCCCCGAGAAGGTGCCTGCTTCACCCGAGCTGCGGGAATTATGGCTGCCGGCACACGAGGATGGGCAAGCAGGACCCTTAATAAAGGAGAAGAGGCGTTGGATGGGGTTTTCCAACCTGGGGTGGCCAAGCCGCAGCGGCCCTGGGAGAGATGTGTAATTGGAGAGATGATCTAGGCAGTCATCTCTCTCCAGCTGCGCATGATGAGGCTGTAATTCTCATGAAGGGCAAAGGATTTGCTCTTCTTTCATCGGTATTCCTAGAATCCACGGTGAGAAGCGGTCTGGCCTATTTTACAGCGGGCAGAAAGCATATGGTGTTATTTAGTGGGATTAAGAGGGCTGAGAGATCCTAATTTCCCGTGGGGGGGATGCTGAGATGGCCGGCGCAGGGCAGGACGGCCGGTGGTTCAGTGGCTGATGGGGCTCTTCTCCTCTATGGATGCTGCCCGTGGCTGTTCACACCTCGCACGCCGCAGAAAAACGTGCCAGGAGACGTAACAGGTACCGTTTCCTACCCACTAATGGGAAACTGCAGCACAGGGACGTGCAGGGATGCGTCCCAAGGAGCAAGGCAGTTTCTTTAGGTTTGTTTTCTTGCAGTGCAAAGAAATAAATAAGTCTCGACATGACTTGGTACTGCGCCATTTGGGATTTTGCTCTTGGGAGGAGCCCGGTGCGTTGCTCCATGCTCTGGGGCGGGTTAATAAGAGCCTCCGCAGCGCCTGGCTCTCATCTGGGGTGGGAAGAGGGGCCAGGGCGGCTCTGCGGGGCGATGCTGGGTGCCTGGCGGGGTTGTGAAGATGTGGTGGGGTTGTGCGTGGCCCATGCTGGGCAGCGTGTTGCATTTCATCATCCAGACCCTGGTCCCCAGCCTTCCCCATCCCAGCCTTCCCCATCCCAGCCTCCTCCACCCCGGAGGCAGCTGAGTTCAGCACCGTCAGAAGTCACGAAGAAATGTCATGGAGAAACTTGGGATGCAGCTGCTTCGTTCGGCAGGTTTTGACGTTAAACGCAAACTTATCCCACTGGAAAGCGATTTTTCCAGGATGTGGTGATCCATGGCACTTCCCCAAATCTCCAGGCATGTGAGCGCCGTGAGCCCATTTGCGGGATATGGAGGAAAAACTTTGTCCACAGCCACGTGAAGAAGGGAGCCGGGAGCGCTGGCTCGTGCTTTTAATCACGCAGCCGGGAGCAGAGCTGCCTGCTTGTACTTTGAGACTGCGCCCGCTCCCTTATCGGCCTGACCCTGCCCTTGCAGCCGCGCTGCTCCCACCACCCTGCGCCTGCTGGCATTCACCCGCCAGCGGTGCCCAGCAGTGGGCTGGCATCTGGCGGATGATGCTCTACCATCCTGGGAAGCTTTAGGGGTCGGATCCTGCAGGAGAGGAGCGGGATGCTGCAGTTTCTCCGTGCATTTCCCAGTAATGGCCCTGCCTATGGCCGGGTCATTTAGCCTGACCCTCGGTATTGCACGGTGCTGACTTCTTCCCACCCAACGCCGCTCGTCTGGATCCTGGCAGAGCCATTTGCCCATTAGAGACATCAGCGTTGTGCTGTGCAGCTGGATCCTGCCCTTCCCACAGCTCCTTTCCTGCGGGAAGCTGCCAGATTTTGCTCTGTCTCCTGCCTGTGGACATCCCGGCCGTGCCGTGCCGAGGCTGGGTGCTGGTGCGGGTGCTGGCAGGCAGTGGGAGGTGCCGGTTCCTCCTCGCAGGCAGCCTCGGGACGGGTGACACATATTTTGCTCCAGGCTTCGGGGTGACACCGGCTGTCACACACTTTCCTCATCCTTTGAAATAAGTGCTGGACGGCAATGGCAGCACCGAGGCTGAGGCAGCCTCAGCATGAGCAGCACAGGAGATGCTGACGGCGATTTTCCACTCCATTTTTGGTACCAAATGTGCAATTAGGTGATGGAGGCAGAGAGGGCAGCTGCCCTAGCTCCTGCCTTCAGGGCTCGGCAGCTCGTCTCTACCCCGAGGCTTGTTTCTAGCCTGAGGTTTCCGTGCTGTGAAGGATGGGAACCAGCTGTAAATGATGCATCAGGCGAAGGGGGGTTGAAGTGGCGCAAGATGGTTGCGGAGCCGAGGGTGGAGCGCGCGGAAACAGGAAACGTCGGCCTCCCTCTGTGTCACTATTACTGGAACTTGCTTCGTTAAAGGTTTGTTTTCACTTCCAAAATGAAACCGAGCAAGCAGGAGGGAGCCCCTCGTCCCCTGGGATGTCCCCCCCTGCAAAACACAGACGCACGTGCACCCACGGCAGGACCAAATGGTGAAGCAATGCCAAAGCTGGCTGCTCTCTGCAGCCCTCCTGGTTAATAAGCCTCTGCTCGTGCCGCTTCGGTAGTGGAGCGGGTTTGCTTGCAGTGCCTCGGTTTCCCATCCGGCATGCAGAGCTGGCAGCGGCAAGAGGCTGTGGTTTGCTCTTGCTCTGGGGGTGGGTGCTGGGCTGTGAGTTTGCAGCCGTAGGTGCTGCAATTGGTGTTTAAGCCTGTGTTTAAGCAAGAAAAGCAAATGGAGGGGCCAGGCAGGGGTGGGAAGGGGTGAATGGTCGGGGGGGAAGGTTTCTGCCTCCCCCCTGGCGTCACGGCTCAGCTCCGGTGCTGAGCAGGAGGGTCCGAGCCCTCCAAAGCCGCTGCAGCTCTGGGTGAGCTCAGGGTGGTTGGGGGGTGTATGGCCCAGGGAGACACCCAGGGACCCCTCATCCTGGGTGCAGCTGGCAGAGGAGGGTTTGCAGAGGAGGGTTTCGGGGGGCCCCAACCAGCCTCCTCAGTCACCGGCTTGGCCGAGACTCAGTCTCGAGCAGAAGAGTTGGGGCTCCTGGTTTTAGGGTGGGAGCAGGAGGAGCCGCGCGGGGGGGAGATGCCAGCGGTGACAGGGTGCCGGGCATCGCGTGCAGAGCTCTGACCACATGTCACCGGCATTGGCCATGCACCAGTGCCATGTACCTCCATCTGGAGGGGTGGCGTGTTGCGAAACGCTGTCCTTTGCACCCCAGATACCGCATCCGCCGTTCACTTCTGGGTTTGGGATCCGGGGAGAATCCCTCGGGTTCATCCTCTCGATTTCGCAGGTGTATCGGGCCACGGCGTGATGTTAAATGATGTCCTTTAATTAGTGGCATCCGTGAGGGTTCCTGTTCCCAGCCTGGCGAGGAAATTCAGCGTCGTCTTTGCAGAACTTGCAGCCCGAGGAAGCGCAGACAGAGGAAAAGGGAGGTCATCCTTGTGCTTGCACACCAGCTTGCACCAGGTTCTGCTCTGCGCTGTGGATATCTGCAGTTCCCTCTCTGCAGAGTGGAAGAGAACTTAAATGAGCCCATCATCTTTTAAATAGGGTTGAAATGGGCTGCATACGACAGGAGCAGGGCTGCAGCATCCCTGTGGGCAGGCGGGCTTTTTGAGGCTGGGCCACGCTTGCAAGGCAGCCTTGGGCTCAGGGCTTGGAGAAGGGCTGAAAGGAAAGGAAGAAGGAAATTCCTGCAAGAAGAACCGAAATCTTGTGAGCTGGGAGGGTGGGAATGGAGACGGTGATATGGAGACCGGCGCTTGTGGACACGGCCTTTTGGTTGTTCCAGAGGAGCTCTGTAGGATGCTGGAGTGCGGCACTGGGAGGGGAGTTTTGGGGTGTTTGGGGTGTCGAGGTGCCGTCGCCGTCAGCACGGACCCGTGCGCGGTGCTGCTTTTCACCCGGCGCCAGCGCACGTGGCTTCCTGCCGGAGCATGGCCGAGCCGGACCCCTGCCGGGGCATCGCAAACGCCCAGCGACACCGCAAAGTCTCGGGGACCAACTGTCCTCCCCGCTGTGACATGGGGACCACCGAGTGTAGGGAGGTTTATAGGAACTGGGGGCATTTTCCATGCAATGGAGCAGGTCAGGTTGTGGCCGCTTGGCGTTTCCATCGCTTCCTCCTTTTACATCCCTTTTTCTGTTCCTGCCCTCGGCCCGTTGCCTGAGGGGCCGCCTGCCTCTGCCCTCCCCAGCAAGCCAAAACCAGAAGCGGGACCTTGATGAGATGATTCATCGTTAAAAATAACCCCAGCAGCATTGAACTGGGGATGGATCTTCCCCATGGCAGGAGATCTGTAATCGATGGGGTGATGACAGCCATGTCCTCTGGCACAGGGCGTCACGTACAAGTGGACCCGTACGTGCCCAAGCCCATCCAGCCTTGCCCGTCCTTTGCTTCCCCCAATTAATTCCCTCTTTTTCTTCCCTAGTTGCCGAAGCAGCAATAGGAAGAGCTTAGTGGTGGGCACCCCGTCTCCGACGCTCTCGCGGCCGCTCTCCCCTCTCTCCGTGCCGACAGGTAAGGGATGTCCCAGGGGATGGGTTGAGCATCTCCCCACATTACCCGAATATTTTGCAGGGTGACCCTCCAGCTTCTGCAGCACCTTGTTAGCAGCAGTGGGCTGGCTCCTGGCCGCGGGTGCCTTTTCCAGGAGGGAATATCCTGGGAAGCGATTTACCCTCTCTTTCCCCTGAAGGAGCAGCCTGCGGCACCCCAGGCATCGCGGGTATCGGGGTGACTTCTCCCCCTTTTTCCCCGCAGCCGGGAGCAGCCCCTTGGACAGCCCACGCAACTTCTCCGCCAGCACCTCCATCAATTTCCCCTTCGCTCGCAGGTGAGCTCCCGGCCCCCCTCCCAGACCATTAATATTCACTAATAATTATAATTCACCACCTGGGACTGTTCTGTTGATCTCAAGTGATTTGTTTTGATATTTTTTTTTTCCGCTTTTTTTCTCCCTGTTTTTTGGTCTGGTGTTGTTTGCTCTGCTGTGACCCGTGCCTCCCGCCACCCCAGCCATGCTCCTCGGACTGACAGGTGAGTACCGGGCACGGGCCGGGGCTGCGGTCCGGGGAGACGTCTGCTCCGCATCGGCACAGCCCTTCTTTGTGTGCATCCCTGGGCAGGAGATTTTGCTCTGGGACCAGGCTCCCTGCAGCTCCGGGAGCAGAAATATCCCTGTTCCCATCACACTGTCACCGGCCACGAGCTCAGCCCCAGCTCAGACCTGCTCTGAGCGCTCCCGACGGATGCTCGGCAGATATCCAGGGACGGATGCTCAGCTGGGTCCCCGCGGAGGCAGATCTTGCTGCATCCCCTTCCCAGCCTGCGCTGCTCCAGAGGCAGATGCCAAAATCCTGTTTAATTAATTAATTAACTGCACACATGGGGGCGGACGGCTGATTTTAACCCATCGATTGTCACATGGAAAAAAGCTGGAGGCTTACGGATGGTTTTCAGGCTTGTAACAGAGTGAAAAGCCAAACTGCGGGGCTGGGGGTTTGCGAGCCTGCCGGCAGCGAGGGTACGTGGTGGTGCCGGTGCTGGATCCGGCACCCTGCCAGCTCCTGCCGGCCTTGGCCCCGCACGGGAAACGGCAGCGGGAGGTAAAGGGCCTCCTCTTGACCTGGACATTGCCCCATCCATTAGAAACGTCTCCAGGAGGAAGCATTCGCCTACGTATGAGCGGTTGCCTTCCTGTTTATAACCGGGCTCTGCTCCGCGGCGCCTGTTGTCTCAGGATGGGTCTTTAGGAATCCCGATTTCTCATAGAACAAAGTCCCAGAAGGCTGAATTTTGCTCTAATTAAAAATCAGATTCTTGCAGGTTTTTTTTTTTTTCTGTCTGAAACAGATTCACCACCTGACCGAGCCCCAGCGCTGTCCCTTCGCGGGGACCGTGCTCGCTGTCACTGTCCCCATGGACGCCTGCACGCTGGGGGTGCAGAACCTCCCCCCTCACCTGCAAACCCCTCTTATTTCACCCATTTTCAGTCTATCCTGAAAAGAGGTTTCAGGGCTTTATTATTCAAGCCAAACCTGCGTTCTCTTCCCCATCGTTATCACTCTGACGTTATTTATTTGCATTTAGACGATGTTTTTTTTCCTGTATGTGATTGGCATGTTTGCACTCGCAGGGCTGATGGCAGAAGGTGGTCACTGGCTTCGCTACCCTCCTCTGGCTATGGGACCAACACCCCCAGCTCCACTGTCTCGGTAACGTTTCCTTTCTCATGGCAGCAGGCGAGAAGAACCCAAACCCTTTGATTTTTGGTGAAACGCCTCCCGAGCCCTACGGCATTGGGTCCTAGGCAGTCCCTCCATTCCTAGAGGACCATGTGCTTTAGCTGCGTCGTGCTTCCCAAATGTGCTTTTAAGAAAGCCGTAGAGCTCGGCTAACGGCTTACAGCATCCCTGGGTGTTACAGCATCCCTGCGTGTCACAGGCCGAGCATGCACGGGGCGCATCCCAACCGTGCAGGGGAATGGCCAGGCAGAAGCCACCCGGGATGCTGCGGGTCCAAGGGATGGGGGGGTCAGCGGAGCTCAGTTGAGTGGTTTGGGGTGGGAGTGGGCAGCGCAGACCTCCCCGGCCTGGCCTTGCCATCCGTATTTCACATTATCGAGCACAGAGCGTGCTGCCTGTCAGTGTTTCCAGCCTCCTAAGAGGCTCCAAGGAATATTTTCCTTGCGGGCTTGCTGGTTTCCATGCTGCTGCTGGGAAGCATGGATCCGTCTCCTGATCCTCCCATGTCTGTCCTTCTTTCCAGTCGTCTTCGTCCTCCCAGGAGCGCCTGCACCAGCTGCCGTACCAGCCCACTCCCGACGAGCTGCATTTCCTTTCTAAGCATTTCCGCAGTACGGAGAGCGTCATGGACGAGGAGGGGCGGCATTCGCCCTGCCTGCGCCCACGATCCAGGAGCCTCAGGTACGGCACCCGCTGTGGGGAGCACCCACAGTGCTGCCGGGATGACGCACCGGGTGCCGGCACATCCAGCGCATCCTCTGCCCTCTCGGGAGCTGCTCCTGAGATGTCCTGGTCCTGCTAAGCCCGTCCCAAGGTGTTGACCCCGATGCAGGTTTTCCCCTTGCAGGGGAGTGAAGAAGCTATGGCTTTAGGTTGTAGATGCCCCATCCCTGGAAATATTCAAGGTCTGGTTGGACGGGGCTCTGAGCAACCTGATCTGGTTGGAGATGGTCCTGCTCATTGCAGGGGGGTTGGACTAGATGGCCTTTAAAGGTCCCTTCCAACTCAAACTGTTCCATGAGTCTGTGATCCTAAGCTCCGTGGTTTTGGGCATTAGGTTCTCAGCATCTTCTTGGCTGTCGGGATGTGGCATTGCTCTCCTGGCAGCGGACGACACCTGAGAGTGAGGTTTCCTGGGGCTGAAGCTGGAGAAAGTGGGATTTGTTCCAAAATAGTTGGTTTGCAGCTTCTCGCTCAATTGTCTCAAAGGTTTTGGTGGAGACAAGGGGACTGCCGAGCAGAAGCCCAAGCGGTGGCCGTCCTTACAGGGCACGGCTGGGAGGCCACCAGCCTGATCTGATGTTAAAAGGTTAAAAATCCTGTTTCTGGGCTTGGGTGAGGAAACGTCACCTGTGTTTGCTGGGGCTGAGCATCAGCCTGGCCTTTGCCTCTGCAAAAAACAAGGAGCGCAGGTGGACAGGCATTTGCAGGCTGGAGAGAGGAAAATTTGGAGAGAGCATCAAGCCGGTGGCGATAGCATTGTGCAAGCTGACCCTACAGACCTGCCGAGCTCCGTGTTGCTGCTCCAAGACCGTGTCCCATGCAAGGAGCTGGTCATGTTTCTGCTTGTCCAGCACCAGGAGCTTGTGCTTTTTACAGGGGATGTTTCGGTTAAATTCTCTTTTCCCACTGAAAAAGCTCCCGGCCCTCTTTGCGCCGGAGGCAGAGCCATAGCCCTGCGTGTCGCCAGCTGAAATTTCATTAAAATCAGATTAATTATCTGACAGGGCTTTGTAGGTGGCGAGGTTTTCACCGAGGAGATGCCAGCTCTGCGGTCAGCACAGCAAAGGCTGAGCTGAGGCTGGGCTGGGGCTGGCAGCGAGCGGCTTGGGTCTGGTTTTAGTCGCCGCGTTTATTATATAGCGGTTAATGAGTTGCTGGCTGCTCCTGCAACTTGCTTTGCCTAACAGGATCACCAGGCAGGGGCCTGAGAGAGGCAATGTTGGGTGAGGGTAAGAGAGAAGCTGTGTTTAATGAAGGTCCCTGCATCCACCATGGGGTTCGGTTGGGGTTTTCTTGCTGGTGAGCTGCAAAAGGGCAAAGATGGTGAGAAATTGTGGGATCCAGAGGAAGGAAAGGATGAGCTTGCTCTTCAAAGCCAAGGGACTGATGCACCAGTCTCTCAGCCTTGGATTTCCAAGTGACTTGAGTTTGGAGACCTGGGTCTGCAGGACATTAACCTCCCCTGGACCAGGTCCCAGGGACCTCCAGATCCATGGATGGTGGGAGGGATGCTGCTGGAAGTGCTGGCCCAAGGCTGATGGCTCCACTCAGATGAGCTTTAACCGCTTGGGACTGGGAGTTAGGAGGAGAGAAGAAATTGCTCTCCAGGGATAGTAGCTATTTGCATGGATGTAAATGACTTGGACCTTGTAATGCAACCAGCTTCCTCCCTCCGCAGCCCTGGGCGGACGAGTGGAACGTTTGATAACGAGGTTGTGATGATGAACCATGTCTACAAGGAGCGGTTCCCCAAGGTAACTAACTGCTGGGACCGGGGAGGACGAGAACGTTAGTGCCTCCGCGGCATCCTGACAGCATCTTCTCCAGAACCACCTCTTCTCTATGCTGGAATATAGAATGCATGGGTAGATATAGCAGGGGGTGTTGGACACCGGAGACGTGGTCATGAATGAGGGAGGCAGGGACCTGTGGGTCTGCGTCATCACACATGCAAGCAGACGTCTCTGGCGACTTTGGTGGAGCTTTTCCAGCCTGCTGGAAGCTGGGTCCCAGGTGGGGCCAGGGTGTGCACATGGATGTTGGAGCTGTGGGAGGTGGTAGGATGAGATCCTGGCTGGCCAAACCCAACACAGGAGGTGGTAGGATGAGATCTGGGCTGGCAAAACCCAATGCATGGTATGGGACACATGTTCCCAGGTGTCACCATCCATTCTGCCTTGCAGGCCACGGCCCAAATGGAAGAGC